CTCTATATTTATGATTAATTAATATAAATTAGTATATAACATGATATTATAAATATTAAATATTGCATTGAAATTATAATTAGTAGATAAAATAAACTAGAAATGTATAAAATAAAAATGAGAGGGACTAAAATTGGCAACCAAACTTCACCTCCATTTTTGGAGATATGAATAGTATTCCCCCATATATGGGGGAATACTATTCATATCTCCAAAAATGGAGGTGAAAATGGGGTAGGGTTGGAGAAGAATGGGGGAAGAAATGGGGGAATAAATGGAGTTTGGGGGTGGGTTGGAGATGTCCTTAGTCATTCATTTGGTGTTTGGTTGCACCTTTGTTCACTCACCCTAACTACTGTTATTGTCAAACCGTTAACCCCCTTATATATGTGTCATGTACACCAGGAATACCAAAAATCCCAAGACCTAAGAACATAAGAACACTATAATAGTCATCTTCATCCTAACCTATATGTTTATTAGATACATAAACCTTCAAATCCATCAGTTTTGATATGTGCAAATCGATGTTGAATCAGGCTTTGCAAGTTTAATCAATGTTAAGGTTCATAAAATAAATTAATTCTTTTGAAATCCAAATATAGGATTGAAATCGATACCTAAACTAAATCCTCCTACCTACAACATAAATGATTTCTTCTTCAACCCTCGTTCTCAAGTTGACTTAAATAAGCACATCACCAAAGAACATGATTACAAACACGTTCAAAAGTTACTATAAAGATTAAAAAGTGTGTTTTTAATAGATTGAAAAATACAGAGCATACAGGGGATATATACATCTCGAAATAGCTACAAAGGAGGCAAAGAATAAGGAAACTAATAACAATAAGGAAACAATAGAAAAGAAATATATACAAAGATTATTCCCTATTTGGCTTCAGCTGAGGAGCGGGACACCACTTATTGCTTCTTGGATTTCCATGATATGGGAGCCCCTCTCAAAAGTAATTGATAACCGGTCCTTGATCTTCTAGTATCGGGGCATCCAAGCCAGTCAGAGTTGGTGTAAGACACTAAATTCATTCCTCCTTTTTTTGGGAGAAGTATTCCTTGACCTGTGGTGGCTTTCAGGTACCTTAGCACCGACATAGCAGCCTCCATGCAATGCTCACGAGGATCTGCAACAAATTGACTTAGAACATTAACCGTGTAAGTAACATCTGGCCTAGTTGCTTATAAATATAAAAGTGTTCCTATGAGTCTTTGGTATTTGCTTGCATCGACCCGATCTTCTTCGTCATTCTTCCCTAGCTTTGTGTTATGTTCCATAGGGAAGGCGCTTGGTCGGCATCCCATCGTTCCACTATCCTCAAGAATATCTAGAATGTACTTTCTTTGGTTGAGGACCATACCCTTTCGTGTATGTGTTACTTCAATGCCCAAGAAGTATTTTTGAGTGCCAAGGTCCTTGATACTAAATTTTTTATCCAAGAAGTCTTTCTTTTCTTTAATTTTGTTCGTGTCATTTCCCATAATAATTACATCATCGACGTATATAAGGGTTGCGAAGAAGGAATTCTGGTTTTTGAAAATGAGTAAAGAGTGATCGACTTGTGATTTTTTAAAACCGATCTCATGCAGGGATGAGGTGAATTTTTGATACCAGATTCTCGAAGCTTGTTTTAGCCAGTATATTAACTTTCTAAGACGGAACACTTTATTTTCTTTACCCTTCTCGAACCCCTATGGAATTTTCATATAGATTTCTTCATTGAGATCTCCATGTAGGAACGCGTTGTTGATATCCAGTTGGTTGACGATCTAATTCCTTTTGTGTAACATCCTGTTCCAAATCGATTCCTAGTCTGAGGTTGTGGCCCGAAGATCGGTCATCATAAGGATTAGGGCTTTTGAAAAGGTAAGATCTAGGCCCATTTGGGTGCGGGTGATGCATTAGAAGTGATCCGGTGTTCGGTTCGTATTTTAGAGCCTAGGGGTATTTCGGTAAAGTGTCAGTTCGGGCTTTTATGGAAAATGGATTTTTTTTCGGAAGGTCTTAAGAAAGGTTTGAGTTGTTATAAGTGTAGGGCTTCTCGTTACCTTTCTGTGGATATAAGGATCGTCGGAATCGGGCTTGTAACGAAGAAGTTATGGCCTTCGGAAGTTTCGTGATTTTCAGGCTTAGCCGAGTACACGGGGCATACACAAAGTGTACGCGGGGCGTACTAGTGAAAAAGGTAGTACGCGGGGAGTACCTTGGATTACGTTGGGCGTACTGACCAGGATGGTCGCGAATGTGTTGGATTAGTGTCTAAGTCCATAACTATAATTGGTAAGACTTGACCCGACCCGACATGGTCCATTTG